CCATCCGGTACTGAAGTGGGCCGGTCGGATAAGTCACTAGCACCCCCCGTCCCCCCGTCGACAATTTACTAGCGGTATTTACTTGCAGTACCGAGGTGGCCCACCTCGGTACTGCAAGTAAATACCGCTAGTAAATTGTCGACGGGGGGACGGGGGGTGCTAGTGACTTATCCGACCGGCCCACTTCAGTACCGGATGGCCAGTCCGCCCCTGCATTCAATGATACGCACTGATGTCCACAGACTGATACTTATGTCACTTTGTGATCTGAGTATATACAGCAATGTTGAGGTTCATACCTGGAATGGGCTTCTCCCCAGGCTTAGGCTGAAATCACAGGGGAAAACATTAAGTGATTTCAAAAGATAAGACAAAGAAGATTTAACATGAATAATAGAAATATACTAGTAGTTGTAGTTTTGAGTCGGTGTAACGTGTACCTGGTAGAACGTGGGTGGAAACTTTGACCTGAGGTCCAGCAGCAGCGTGTCCACACGATGCCTCTGGAACAGCGAGCTCGCTTCCTCCTTCTTCTTAGTCTTGGGTTTATTTTTCTCTGTAGAAAAGAGTTATCCCATATTCAACATAATAAACATGAACTTCCTATTATAAACATTTCAAGGTTGCAGAGCGCCATAGCTCCGACTCTTGAAGACTTCCCTATCTGCCATTTCACTACATTTCCATACCAGGCTATATGAAGGAATCCTGAAGTCAGATGTAAGACCCTTTAAGACCTTTTTGAAGACCCTTTCCATACATTTTAAGACCTCATCGCCACTTGGAGTTCTAACCGGTTACATTGGCGACACACTTCACCTCACATTGACTATATACAGCATGGATTGTCCTGTTCAGATGACGTCAAATCCAACGGGATGCCATAAATAAACTACACAGAATCACACTACACACCTACGCAATGATAACATTCAGGCACACTGTAAAATACATCTCTTTGGACCATTTAAGATACTTATTGAAAACAAGCTACAAAATGTAATACCTTGGAAAATGCAGTTTAATACTTTTTAAGACCACGCGGACACCCTGGATATTGTAAATTAAATAAACTAAACCGAACCTCTCTCCTCCTGATCCTTGAAGTGCCACCAGTATCCCTTGGATGGATGATAGCGGCAGTACGACATGGCCTCATCAAAAGCAGACTGGATTCCATGGACAGCAGAGAGCTGGGACAGAGGGGGTTCATGTTACATCATTTAAATGTTATTAGAATCCATCATCAAAAAAAATTCTAGCACTCAGTTCAAAGAGTCCTCACCGCTCTGGAGCTGATAACGGTCCCCAGGTCGGGGGCCTGATACACCACTCCTGCTATGATGTAGTAGTCAGCCAAGGGAATGTCTGGAGGATGGAAAGAGAGGAATTATCTTAAGGAATAAGCTCCAGTGCTATGTTGTTTAAATGTATGTACTTATTTTAACAACAACCATGCATACAAATACATTCATTTCAGAAAAGAGAAGGGATGATTTATGCCAGAGTTGAGCTAATAGCGAATTTCCATCTGCAGTCCTTAGGTTCTTATGTGTGTGTGACAGATTTCTTGTGATAGCCATGAGTATAAGCAAACACAATTCCTTGTATATTTGCACCAACTTTGAATTAAACCAGATTCTTGTTTTGAATCTAATACACAGTACATGTATACATATACATATAATATACAGTACACATCTCTGCGGTCCTGCCTGACTCTCATCATACTGCTTCCCTGATGGCTCCCACAGGATTGTTGACATCCTCGTGGATTCTTCTTCTTATTACAGACACATGCATTTCCAAACATTTGGTCTACCTATGTCGTATTATCTCTTTGATTTACACACGGCATCTATTGCACGTCTGTCCGTCCTGGGAGAGGGATCCCTCCTCTGTTGCTCTCCCTGAGGTTTCTCCCATGTTCCCCTTTAAACTGTGGGTTTTCTCCGGAAGTTTTTCCTTGTACGATGTGAGGGTCTAACGACAGAGGGTGTCGTTTTCTCATACTGATATTCTGTACAAACTGTGCTGTTGTATTTACTGTAAAGTATTTTTACTGCATGTACAACACTTTGGCAATTGGCTCGACCACATTTTTTTTTTTAAATGTGCTATATAAATAAAACTTGATTTGATTTGATGTTCTTTTTTCTCTGCCGGACCGATATCAGTAGCGTTCAGATGCTCACCTTGTGTTGGTGACTGCCTCTGTTGTTTCCGGATGATATAAAGGATTGGCTCCTGAGCGTGAAGAAGAATGTACTCCACCCCCACCATCTGGCTGAAATGACACAGAAACAAATGTTTGCTTGGAGGAGGTCACTGTACTGGAAACATATTTCTGACCTTTAAAACCAAACAATTACATCTGTGTGTTATTATTGGATTTAGATTCTGCATGATAATTCATTTGCATGCATCTCACAATACACACAGTAATCATTGTACTGGTAAAACACTAAGCTCAAAGTGACTCTTGAAGGTCTCCTATTATACTGTTTTTCATCAATATATTACAGTTCTGAGATGTACACAAAAACAGATCATTGCAGCATTACCCATAATCCCCTCTGTTTCAGCCCAGCGGCTAGCAGTAGATTGTACAGGATAGATCGTATTGTAAAGGCGGATTAACGTAAGTCACGCAGAAGAAGTAAGTTGTTACACAGGGGAGAAAGCAGTACACCGAGAAAGCATTGATGTGTTAGATCTGCTACCATCAGGAGACAACGAATGCTTTACTCTAGATGACTATGCTTGCTCTTGGTCCAGGGCGAAGACGAAGTCAGGAAGATGTAGTTGTACCAGGGGAGAACGACGTACAGCGACAGAGATAGTAGGTCGGTACCAACAGGGAAAGAAGTACCAGAGAGATGTAGTATGTCCACAGGGGACCGAGAAGTCCAGAGAACCCAGATGTCGTTGTACACAAAAGGGGAGAAGAAGTAACAGAGAAGGTGTAGTTGTACACGGGGAGAAAGAAGATACAGCAGAGATGTCAGCTTCGTACACAAGCAGGAAGCAGAAGTAACAGAGAAGAGAAGTCAGCTATGTACCCGGGGAGCAGAGTCCAAGACGACACCAGCTGTAAGTTGGTACAGGGGAGCACTTTTTCTGAGACTTATCAATGCCTCCTTGTTTCTCAGAGCGGAAGAAAAACTAGGTACAAGATCTTTTTGGAACAGACTTCTTACCTACCACAGCTAGCTAAAACCACCCAGGTGAAAGACTCAGTAATTGTACAAAAACAGAACAACATGCGTCATCGGAGTTAGTCGTGTCGGTATACGCATTGGAGGGAGGGGAGCCGGGCGCGGGGCAGGACGCCCACGCAGCAGGGGGGGGGCCGGGGATAGATGCGATTAGAGGATCAACTCGTGGTAACTAAACGACATACTTGGTTTCAGAAGAAAAGTCCATCCACGACGCTCACCTGAGGATAAAAGTAGATTACTCTCTAGTATGTCTCTCTCCCGTCGTCGCACCCCNTGTAAATGTATTATCTCTTTGATTTACACACGGCATCTATTGCACGTCTGTCCGTCCTGGGAGAGGGATCCCTCCTCTGTTGCTCTCCCTGAGGTTTCTCCCATGTTCCCCTTTAAACTGTGGGGTTTCTCTGGAAGTGTTTCCTTGTACGATGTGAGGGTCTAAGGACAGAGGGTCTAAGGACAGAGGGTCTAAGGACAGAGGGTGTCGTATTGTCATACTGATATTCTACTGTGAAGTCCACTGAGACAAATGTAACTCTTGTGATATTGGGCTATATAAATAAACATTGATTGATTGATTGATTGATTGATTGATTGATTGATTGATTGATTGATTTAGTGCTATAGTAACACATGCATTATATTATTTTATAGAGTTCAAATAAGGTCACTCATAACCTAAGATGAAGGTCCTTGGGTCCAATTTGTTCCCGAATGTTTTTATGTCGGGATAAAGGTTTATTTGATGTTAGTGCCAGAGAAATAACATGTTTGTTGTATACGTCTAAGTATGATCACTTTCATTAGGTTTGGGGTTTTATTCCAAATGATAGCATCTGTGGTCTTTTAGGGGTAAATTATGAAAAAAATCGTTCAACATTTTTTCCTTTTGTAACTCAGAAATGAGTTTGGATTTTGTGGAAATGAGATCCATTTACTATACATTTCTAAAAGAAGAATACAGCTTGTGCTCATAAGTAGGATTACAGTTGCTTTGAAAGGTGGTAACATAGATTAGGAAGACAACATAAGGGTTATCCAATGTGTTTGTGGAAGATATTGCATATTGTGTTTATCTGTATGCTAGACAAGACTTTTTCTATCAAGATTTTATTAATAAAACATTTAGCCTACAGTCCGTTTATAAACAAGCTGAAATAAACCGTCCAATCGTGCAACAAGCTGTTAAAATAAGCTTTAACCAACTTCTGTAATAATTTACTGTTATATTCCAATAATGTAAAATATTCCAATTATAACCAAACATTTGTTTTCTTTGTTTAAACTTTAAGCTATATATAGTTTTTCATGTAATGATCTTGTACAGTATTCTTACTCCAGTCAAATCCCTTACATTTGTATTTGTTTAAGATATTGTTTCTGTTGTTAAAAAATATCTAAATACTCCTGGAAATAAACTGTATGAAAGTGATTTGATTTGATTTATTTCGAATGTGTACACAAATAATACAAAAATGTAACATGAGAATTATTATACAAAACAAAATGAAGCATGAAGTGTCAAATTGATATACACAAATATGACTGATTTTAAGTTATGTATAAACAAATGATCTATTCAATTACACATCTGAAAAGTTATATAGAGAGAGAGATAGAATCAGAGACCCTCTTTAATGGTCTCACATGCAGAGCACACAGTGAAATGTGTTCTCTGCTTTTAACCCATCCTAGTACCAGGAGTCTAGTACTAGGAGCAGTGGGCAGCTATTGTACAGCGCCCGGGGAGCAATGGGAGTGAGGGGGGAAGGGGCATGCCCGGTGCCTTGCTCAAGGGCACCACGGCAGGGCAGGAGGTGAGCTGGGACCTCTCGTAGAAGTCCACTCTCCATATTTTAGGTCTGGAACCTAAAATATTGAACCGGCGACCCTACGGCTCACAGTCCAAGCCCCTACTGATAGAGCCACTGACAGGATAGTGATACATTAAGTCAAGGGAAAAGCAAATTCAAATAACACTGTATCACCAGATAATATGACATCGTTAAAGTTTCGCCCTGATTTCTTCCACAGTACATCATAACATACATTATTATATCTTATTATTAAAGGGCCTATCCCAGCTCCGTTATTTCTGCACGAGTTATCACCAACACGGGGTGCAAAGTCGACTAATTGAATTGACAAATGTGTGTGTTTGTGAACCTAATGGAACAGGTGTCAAAGGACGCCGCCATGCACCTGTCCCCGAGCACAAGTACTCAAGTCTCAGGAGTACTTGCCAGGACAATTTGGCCGTCTCCTAACGTGAAATATAAGAACTTTGACATACAAATCAGGTATGAGACGAGCCCCCTACCTTTCACCGATCGGTGTACTCGGAATGGACAACCGTCTCTCAACATAGCTTCTAGCTAGGGACCCAAGATAACATTGCCCGTCCCATAAATGGCGATATAACGTTTTTGTGCCCCCCCTGTCGGGGACAACACGGCTCCGGTGATAGAAGCTAATAAATCTATAATAAAGTGTGGAATGATCTATACAATTTATTTAATTTTTTTATTAATATATTGGATCTCCTATTTAGTCACCTTCTTATCCCTGGTTACGTTCAAGGTTCGAAATATTATTTGGACAAACCGTACGTATGTGAGTATAGGTATACACCAAGAGGGGTAAAGGAGAAGTTTACATATTGAGTATAAATGTTCCTTCTGTGGGAACCGTTTGATTCACATAGTTATGTTTTTCCGTCGGTACTGGTGATATGTTATTATCAAGGTTATTTATTCACAATATCAACGATAAGTGCTCACGTATTTTAATGCCTATGGGGGTGTCAACATAATTGCGGTACTTTAGTAATAAGATTATTACGGAATACTGGTCAAGAACGAAGTTAACTGACAACCTTGTTTGTAAGTGTAAGATATTTATTGTTGTTCTTTACAGGGGTCGTCGTGGTCTGTATACTTATTTGAGGTTCAGGACGTGTTAATTTCTAATGTTTTATCAGGGTTGATTTGACTCGTAGTAAATTTTATAATAACAACTCAGAGAAACTAACACTTTTAACATACCTTATAGCAGGGGTAACGGAAAATAACTATTGTGGGATATCTTTAGATAGGCCGTACTTTCCCAATAAATACTTTAGTTGGTGTTTCTCACATTCACCATTAGAAAAGTTTGTTACAGGTGAATAGTAATCTGTGGGGATTTGAAGGACCGTACGAGGCAAGAAGAGAAAATTAAGTTCATCAAGTAAGGTAACTGAACATTTAAGAATATAGTGTTTGGTCAGGGAATTCATATTTTGGTGATGTGGACATTTGACAGGCACACCGTACATTAGTTATTAAAGGGTCGAAGGGAACTGTATTACTTCGTCTTGTTTGAGTTGTTCCTACCTTGATGTCGTGCATAGAGGGTACATGACCGATCTCTTAAGAAAATGGACAGTTTTGCGGCATATAAGGTGATAAAGAGAGACGAAGCAAGAAGCGTTTGTTGAGAGCGAACGCCACTTTCAGGTAGGGGACTGTTTGAGCACCCCGCCAATTTCACGTACGGTAACCGTAAGTGGCTGGGGGGACATCATTAGCTACAGCTTGGGGGGGGTACTCATGAAATATACCACTTGTTTACTCTACCATTCTTCCGACACTCACGCGGGAGCTCCTGCTAACAATACACAACCTACCTCAGTCAGACTCCCAGCGGCCGGGAGCGAGGACGTCTCGGGGTCCCGCGCTGCGGTCGCGGCATTTCGGTCAGACTCCGAGACGGACGTTTGTTCACCCCTACCCTCGGTCACCCCACCCACCCCACGACGGCAGAGTAGGGGTTGTTTCCAGTATTAGTTCAGGAGTTAGACGACAGGCGCCGACGTCAGCAACAGGTTATTATCGTCTAACACGTACTCCTTACGAATATTTTCATCTAGCACTGTAGGGATGAACTTCAAGCGAACTAGGTTAGGTGTGACTTGGTCTCCCGGGTGTTATTGGACCAAGGGATGAAGTTCGCCTTTGTCCCCCTGAGGTAGGAGAGGTAAAATCGTACACTCAGAAACGTGAGTAAAATACGTGGTGAGTATAAAAACTATTCGCACTAGTTACAAAAAAACTCC